AAAGGCTGCCAGGGTGCCCTCTCCAGTGACCTCAAGCAGCTCAACTTGTCACCTGCTACACAGGTGACTACGAAGGCCATTTATGGATTTAATTAGGGCAGACAAAGAAGAGACATCATCAATCCCTGAAGTACATGGAACATGCCAGGAGCATCCTGTGATCCCAGCTCTGACTGTACAGAGAATGTGGGATTATTGATCTTTAAAAGTGGGAGCAGGTCCCCAACTTTAATAGACAGCAGCGTCTGATGTTCACATGGCAACTTTTATGTTGGACTGTCCTGAAGTACTTGAAAGGACACACAGCTGTAAACCTCTCCTTCCTGTCCTGCTCCACCTCTCCTCTCAAATAACAACTCCCATCCCTCTTATCCAAAAGCAATAATGTCTTTTATCTGTTAGAAATCTCCCTTGCTTTCTTTCCTTCACTGAGGAACCTCATTTAGTCTCCATTTGGATTCATTTTTCCACAGAAAAAGCACACAGCAAGCAAATGAAAATATCCTCCATGCAGAGATCTCCTCTCAAGGTGTGTAGGCAAGGATTGGATTGCACAGGTGATGGTCAGTGGAAATCCAGGTACCACAGAAAGGAATATAAAGGAAATCTTTACAGCTGAGGTATCTTGGTGGATCCAGGTTCCACCCAGCTGGGACACTTGGCTTTCTAGTGACATTTGCTAAGGGCATCACCCTGTTGGGGTTCCCCCAGCTGTGCCCTGCTAGGCAGCCCTTCTTCCTGGTCTTCAGTGAGGGGGAGGAGGGAAAAAAGGAGGGAAAAAATGAAAAAGGGGATCAGGAAACACTCACTTGGTCACGTCCTGAGCAATTCCCAAGATGCGAGTGAGCCCAGGCTTCCTGCTGTCCCCTCAAATATGTTATTTTCCACTCCCACCTTTCTCCCTCCTACTTATCTCCCTCCCCCCTTGCCTTCTGAGCCTGACTGAGTCAACCAGTGCAGATTAGATGCCAAGCAATGCAGTCTCTGCACAGAGATTCAACTCCCACAGACAGACTGGAGAGATAAAAGCAGTCTAGTCAAACACTGTCCAGAGCCAGCGCGGGCAGAGCCGAGCTCCCAGTGCCTCTCACGGGGTGACGCCTTGAACTGGTGACACTCCAGCAACTGAACTGCGAGTCCCGGGGGCATAAACACTCCTTTCTGGTGCCTGTGCTTAAGTACAAACGAAATGGGTCCCGTTTTCCGAAATATCCGCGCTCTGGAGATAAGACTGACTGATGGGAACCCTTTTTCAGGCATCAAAGACCTGCTGCTCGGAGGTGCAAAGACCCGCGGCAGTGCCCGTCAGCCCGCCCTCGTGCTGCTCTCCTGTCAGTTCACACACCATTATTTTCCCCTCAGAGGAATCAGGGAACATCGTGGCATTCACTGGGGTAAACAGCCCCGTGGCAAAGTGCTTGTCCCATCTGTGTCCCTGCAGCTGACCCCAGCAGCAGAGGGACAGAAAAGCTTTCCACGTTCATTTGGTCCAGCTCTGGTTACGCGATAAGAGCTGCAGTTGACACAGCAATATAAACATCATTACTGACACGCACTGGGTACAGGTCAGGCCGCAGTGTCCAGGGGATACTCCATAACAGGAGCTGTCATATTTATCTCTGGCTTCTTCAGAGCCAGTTTGAGTCGTCAGACGGAGCACACAAAAGGACTATTCAGTGCAACCCACGAGCAGAAATAAAACAGATGCGCCGGGGAAGTTTGCAAAGGCCCCGGCACAGAAGGTTGGCAGATCTCCCCTCCAAAAATCAAGGCCTGGGCTCCTTGGCAGCATCAGGAGCCCTGCAGCAGCCCTGGTGCCAGGGGCACTGCTCACGCTGTTTGGATGAAGGACAGTCTGGAGGACAAAGCACTTGGCTTGGCAGTGAGCAGGGATGCAGGAACATCACAGATGCAGAACGAAACCAAAGCTCAGAGAACACCAGAGCTTTTAAACACTTCCACCAGGCTTGGCTGGTAAGGTCTATTTTGCTTTTTTTTTTCCTACTGTTTTGGCAAATTAATTGAGTGGAATGGGAAAGCACATTGCAGCAAAAGCTCCCATCTGACCCGCTGGGAGTTTTACTCTATGTAAAGCACCCGAGGGGTCAAGGTGCAAAGAATGTGTACAGAGGTGAGGTTTCAGAGGCTGCAGTGGGGCACAGAGCAATTCTGAAGCTCCAGTAAAAGGGGATGCAGTAATTCAGGTCTCAGACCAGGGACTGATCTGAGCAAGGTCACTTTTCTATCCAGAAAGCATAAGGGAAGAATCAAATGCTTTAAGTGAGGAAAAAAAAAAATCCCAGTTTGAAATGAACTTCCTACCTATTTTAAGACCAATCCAAAATGCTTTTTGTTCCTAGCTGGTATTTCAGGAATGAGTACGACCAGAGGCACCTGGTCTGGTTTTACAGACTGAAACGCTTTTGGAAAGGAGTCAGACATGATTTGGACAGAAACAACGGAGGCCCAGACACAGAGGCTGCCCTGGGAGAGCGTGTACCAGCTGTCTGCTCAGCCTCAAACCTCTAATCATGTTCTTGGAGGGAAAGCAAGGGGACCTGTTAGGGGTGGCTGAGCCCAGTGCTCGGGGCCAGGCGGTGGAGCCAGCGAGTGTCAGCCCGGCTCCATCGCCCTGGATGGAAAACCCTGGCACCAGGACAGCAGCAAATGAGTCTCTGAACAGACAGGGCAGAGGGACTGTAAACAGCAGCACGAGCAAAGATGAAATGTTGGAACTCAGGAGAACAGCAGGAGGAAGCTTGGCAGCGCTCAGATCGGCAAAGCACCTGCTGGCACGGGAAGGAGAGGCCTGGAGTTGGCAGGGAATGGGTCCCAGTGCCAGCCAGCAGCAATCAGCTCTGCTCCTCACCAGCCTGGCTCTGCTCAGGCACAGCAGCTCCACGGCCCTGCTCCAGCACTGATGGCTCCAGCCCACAAACACAGAGTGCAAAGCCTGCCCTGGGGCAGGATGGACAGCATAGGGATCCAGGATAGTGCAGGATGGACAGCACAGGGATCCAGGATAGTGCAGGATGGACAGCACAGGGATCCAGGCCAGGGCAGGATGGATAAAAGAGGGATCCAGACCAGTGCAGGATGGATAAAAGAGGGATCCAGACCAGTGCAGGATGGATAAAAGAGGGATCCAGACCAGTGCAGGATGAATAAAAGAGGGGTCCAGGCCAGTGCAGGATGGATAGCACAGGGATCCAGGATAGTGCAGGATGGACAGCACAGGGATCCAGGCTGGTGCAGGATAGACCGCACAGGGATTCAGGATAGTGCAGGATAGATAAAAGAGGGATCCAGGCTGGTGCAGGATGGATAGCACAGGGTTCCAGGATAGTGGAGGATGGATAAAAGAGGAATCCAGGCCAGTGCAGGATGGATAGCACAGGGATCCAGGCTAGTGCAGGATGGATAGCACAGGGATCCAGGCTGGTGCAGGATGGATAGCACAGGGATCCAGGCTGGTGGTAATAAGAGCACTGCCTCAAAGCAAAACAAATCCTGTGAAATAAATGTATAAAACTACTCCAGTGCCCTCCTTCAGCTCTTTAAATCCTCCCCGTGCTCACAAACGACCCAGCAGCACTGAAGAGCTGGCAGACTGCAATGCCTCTCCTCTGCAAATCCTTTCTGAGAACCTGCTGATCTCCTTTGCAGTGCACTTAGGCCGTGCATTGTCTCACAGGGCTGAGTGGACACCTCCCCTGGGCTTGCATTCCTCCCAGCCAGGAGCAGGCAATTCACTGAGAGCCCTTGTTGAGAGCACAGTTTGCTTGGGCTCCACAGCAGATCATGTAGGATCACAGAATCCTAAAGTGCTTTGGGTTGGTAGGAACCTTAAAGATCATCTTGTTCCAAATCCCTGCCACGGGCAGGGACACCTTCCACTAACCCAGGTTGCTCCAAGCCCCGTCCAACCTGGCCTTGGACACTTCCAGGGATGGAGCAGCCACAGCTTCCCTGGGCAACCTGTGCCAGGGCCTCCCCACCCTCTAAATTCAGTCCATTCCATCAACTCTGAGTGCCACTAACTCAGGTACTTGTGTTAACACCAAAATTAGGTGAGTGAATCAACCCAGGCTCACACACACAGGGTTCTGATCCCTGCACAGGACCTCTTGTTGCTGCCACTAAGTAGGCAAATGCCAAACATGGCTCATACCAATTCCACCTCTCACTAATACGTTTTGTCAGCTCATCATAATCTTGAAAGAAACCTTTAAGTGCTGGGAGTCATCCTGGGTTCTAATTAGGCTCAGTCAGATTTTGTGGTTTAGTCAAGTTAACCTGGCTCATGCTGCTGCAGCTTTAAACACATGCACTTGAGATCAGTTCTTCCACTCAGGAAAAGATAAGCTCTACAGTTTCCTCCCCTCGGATAAGCTTAAGAAGAAAAGAAAATGAAGTCATGTCCCTGTCACCCAACATTCATGTGGTTTTGTGTCCCATCTCCACAACGGCTCCCAAACCAGGGCGCCCCACACAGAGACCCTTCTGTGCTTTACTGTCATCCCAAGTCAGAAATCCAAGCACAGGATTCTTCAAGAGGTGAACCAGAGAGAAAAACAATCCATGGGTTTCTGAGCCATGACAAAACGTTTTGATAAGCTGCTGTTCACTGCCACTACTGCTGTTTGTATTTTCAGAGACGTCACGGCGTTCCCAGCACTTTGCAAACAACAACCCAGAACTCACAGACTTTTCCAAGCAGATTATAAAATGCAAAAACCCAAAGGCCATCCAAAAAATCAGAAAATTCCAAACTGATGCAGCCTGCCTGGTTACAAAGCACTTTCTGAAACTCCTTTTCATCTCCCTATAAGAAAAAAAACAGATCTGATACCACTTTTTTTTTAAATTACTTAAGCCTCACAACTGTGTCATTCCTTTCTGAATTACAATTGTGCCATTTTGATCACCTTTAAAAGCATCTGCAGGGTCTGATGCTCCTCACAGAGCCCTGACAGTGACTCCAGGGAGAAGGCACTGACCTGTTGCAGTGGTGATATGTGTAACACACAGCACTGCTGTTCCCTCTGGATACAACTCGGTAATCCCTCCTTTGCCGTGGCATTCCCTTCTCATCCAGCTGCCAGAAGGAGATCTGAAATGAAAATAATTAACTTCCATCAGTTATAGTTTGCTGAGGGTTTTTTTTTTTCCTTGCTAAGCATCCAAACCCATGTCTTAGATAAACAAACAGAACAAAACATTTGGCCTGGACCAAATCCTGGCTCCAAACAAATCTGGATAAGAGACTTGTGGTTGGGATCTGTCATATTGAATCCAGTGAAGTGAATTTACCTCAGAATGTGTTCATTAGTCTGATATTTGGAGCCCAAAACCAGAGTGCTGCCATGGACATAAAAGCCTTTAGGCTTGGACACATCTCACCTTTAGGGACCTGCTTGGGGAAGCTCAAGGTGAGGGACATCCCCAAGGCACTCACAGAATCACCCCTGAGAGGCACCTGGGGGGGTTCATCTCTGCCCATCAGCTAAAATGCCTCAGGGCCAGTCAAGCCAAATGCTCAGAGCCAGCTTTTCCCTTGTGCTCCCTTATCCTGGCTGCTCTTTGGCTCACACCCAAAAATCCTGCATCCCAACCCAGCCTTCCCAAGCAGCACCATCTGCAAAGCCGTGAGGACATGGGGATATCTTCCATTCTCACACGGCACATCCTTCCTTCCCTCTGACTTCCCATCGCTGCTCCAGCTTCCAGGAAACACGAGGGATTTGTTGCAGGATTTGAGGGCAGCACACACTGTAAAATCTCAGAGGGTGAGGGGCTGCAGCTCTGAATGAGTTGCCTTGTCTTTGTGGTTTCTACCGAGCTCAAATTTTGCCGAAAAAGAATTAATTAATTAACACTGGACAACCCCACAGTGATTCTTGGAACAGAGGAGCCTGCCACTGTGGTGGCACAACACCCCAGAGCTGGGTTCCAAACATTATTCTGGCAGAAGATGCCCCCACCAGGCCAGGATGTGAGATCCTGGGTGAGCTGGGTGTAGCTCTGCTGGATGGAGATCCTCCAGGTCTGCTCTGGTGCCACTGGGAGGAGAAGCTCCATCCTGGAGGGCAGATGGTTCCCCTTCTCACTTGGAGGGGCTGAATGACTTTTCAAACCTTTGATTCCTGACTGATGCATTCACTTCAGGAGACACAAAAGTGCAAAGTCTCAGCATGGAGTGACTCCCTCGCTTTCTGGGTTTTTTTTTTTCCTTTCCCACTCCCTCACCCCAGCCCTTGTCTTTTCTTTTCTTCTCTTCTCTCCCTGGACAGTTTTATAATTTTGGCTCGTGGCCAGAGTGTCTGTCCTGATTAGTCTGGGCTGGCTGTGAAACACCTGCAGCCCATTAGAGCAGGAGGATGAAAAAAAATCAGTTGTCATAGGTAAAGCAATGCCCACTTATTTCTTTGTTGTAACACACCAGAAGGACAGTCGAGAGGAGAAGCAAAAAAAAAAAAAAGACATATCTTTAGCATCAGACCTGCCATTGCCTGGGCTCAACTGCACACACTGGGTCATGTTTTTATCTGATAAGTGACTCCAATAAATTGTTGTCACTTCACACCAGCGAGGGTTGCAGGTTATTAAACAGGACGTGCACTTGCTGCATTTGAATAGTGCCTCGTGCACCTTCTTTTATTTATGTCTGTCTGATGAACTAACTCGGCACGAGGAAGAAACTTCCCTCTGGGCGAGTTATAACTAGATTTTCTCCTGGCATATCCCTCTAATGTCCCAGCTGGCACTGGCTGCACACGCTGCCAGATCCAGCAGAGCCTCCAGAATGGCACAAGGGCTACAAGGGGGGACAGACACGAGCCCCCTGGGCCACTGTCTCAACCAGGAGGGCTGCACACCCAAAACACTGCCCAGGGGAGAGCAGAGGTGCAGAAATGGCACTCAGGGTGTCCCTGGAGCTCCGGGGCTGTGCAAACCCTTTATGATAACCCCAGAAACTGCCCTGATCCAAGCACGTGGGGACAGTGGGGAGGCTGTGGGGGCAATTCTTACCCAACCCACAGAACTCCAGCGTAGCTACAGACCAGCTAATTGTACTTCTGGGGAGGAGCCCTGCTTCTGCTTGCAAACTGCTCCCTCAGAAGATGTGTTTGTGCACAAGAGTGGCTGTTACTCAGAAGAGGGGCTTGGTGCCTGCTCAGATGTCGACAGCCGAGAGATCAAAAAGTCCTTCAGATCCCCTCCTGATCGATTTGCCACGACCAAAACTCACCTGGGCGGAGGGAAAGGCCACACTCAGCCCTCCTGGGGTGGGGGGGACACCTCTCTGGAAGTGCCTGTGTGTCACAGGGGATGCCAGAGGCAGGATCTGAGAGGACAACCGGAGGGTTAAATAATTCATCGTGGCTCACATCTTGAACTGTGACAACAAAGTGGGGAGCTGAAAGGCAGCTCTGAGAGCTGTGCTGCTGAAAGCAAACTCACCCTCTAAGGACTGGATGGTATTTCAATCCCAACAGCCCATCCAGCCAAAATGCCACTGGGGGGATGTCAAGAAACCCTCAGCTCCTTCCAAAACTTTGCTGTGTTCTAATCAAACTGCCTCGTGTAGCTGCAAGGCAGCTGAGACATTTACACCCCAGCAGCTGGCTTTTTTTTTTCAGTTCTGCATCAAGTGGAGAGCAGCCATTTAAAAAGAAAAAAAAAGAAAAAAAAAGGGAAAGGAAAAACTTTTGACCACAAGGGACTCTGTCAAATATTCCCACTGCTGTCCTGGAGCGTGGAAAAGCAAGTCTGCTGTTGCACACAGGTCTGACTATTTGCATTTTTAATAATTCAAGAGTTTAATTAGTATCATGGCCTTAATCAGAGGCTGAAAATACAGCTGAAGTCATCAGAGCTTAATTAGTTTTAAAAAAAAAAATTCTGCAGTGAAAATGTCTCAGCTAACGTGGGGCTCTGTCCTTAGTTTGATGCCTTGGGGTTCAGAGGAACTTTTATCTGTTGCTTCTGATTTCCTATTCTAGTACACCTCAGAATAACACAAAATCCACCAGCAATATTGAGACAAATCAGTTCATTTCCCTGTTTATCCCTCTAAACTGTTCCACAACTTTCTTGAACTGGACTCAGAAAAAAAAAAATAACCAGATTGAAGATAATATATGAAATTAAAGCAGGACTATCCCATGAGCTGCATGTGAATTTTCCCTCTACAGGAAATAAAATGTTTTTTACAACCTCAATAAGTATCACTGGATCTTCAGTCAGGTCAGAAGGAACACATTCCTGAGGGAAATAACTGTATGGCCAGAAAAATCCTCATTTAGTAGTGGGAGTGCTCCTGTGTGGGAGCTCACACTGGTCCCAGTTGGTCACCCAGCCCAAGCTGGGTGGTGAAGCACTGGAGTTCTGGTGCTGCTTCCCTTCCTGAGTGGTGTCAGGAGGAATTCTCACCAATTTGGGCTGAGCTGATGCACAGCCCTGGCAAGAGCCACCCCTTCCCTCCCTGCACAGGTTCACGGTGTTGTACAGGACATCCTGGATGGACCTCTTCAAACAATATGTGGTTTAATGGTGGGATTCATCACCACCCAAGGCTGTGGAGACTAAATACATAAACAGGTTCGAAAATGGACGAGCAAAACTCATGGAAGATAGGTCAGCCCAGCCAATTAAACATGGAAATCCGGATGCAACTTCCAGTTCAGGAAGTCAGTCAGTCTAATGCTCTTCCACCTCTGATTTACTTGCAAAAAGGAAGCCAGAAAAATTCTCACTATGCCAAAACTGTCCCTTGACTCTGAGCATTAGTGAGAATCACAATAAATCCCTTTTTTTTTTTTTTTTTGGCAGGGGGAGGGGGGTGCATTTTCTTTCAGCAATGGTATTACAGCATGTGATTTATTTCCCTCTGCAGCTCCTGAACCTCTGTGTAACCTCCCATCTCCCTGTCCCCTTAGGAATAGCACAAATAAATTAGTGAAACCTACTGGAAGGTGATAGCAATCACAGATACCACTAAATTCCATTTAGCATGGAATTAGGAATCCAATCACTCATGTACATAGAGAAGGTCTGACTGAAAAAGCATTCTGCCTTTGGGAGCACTGGGGCCAGAGGAAGATGCTGGAAACTCAAGATGGAAAAATGTAAGTTGGTTTGTCCACAAGGAAAGTTGCTGTAACCCCAGGACAGTTACTGTTTGATTTATTCCCTGACACATTCCCTGCACAGCCTGGGTTTATATATATATATATATATATATAAAATTTATATATATATATATATATAAAAAATACATACAGAACATTTCATACTGAGTGGTTATGTATCCTAAAGGGGACGAGGATCCTGCTGAACTCCTGACCCAAAGAGCAGCTCGTGGCTCTGCTTATCCACTCTCTGCTCCTCGTCCTCTTACCTGCTGCAGGAATTTCCACCCTCTGCCTGGTTCCGAAGGTGTCCAGGGGGTTTGCAGGAGAGCAGAGGACAAGATGACAAATGAGCTAACACACAGCAGAGGAATGTAAGTGAGTCTCAGCTATTTTTAATTAAGAGCGATGACAGCTGACTAAATTCCCTGACACTGCAGTTAAAGGCTCCCTGACCCAGACATTATTGGACACACTCCTAAGACCAATATATATCGGTCCCGACGGTGCTGCTATTATTGTCCCCGCCGTCTGGGCAGGTGCAGGACTCACAGAAATCTATGTCTGTTATCAGCATGCAAACACTGAGATAAACATGGGGATGCTCAGGAGCAGGAGGAGGCAGCAGGTGAGGGGAGGACAGAGAAGGTCGTTTGCAAGGGAAGCGCTGGAGGAGCCGGTGTTCGGTTCCATTAAATGTTCGAAAGGTTTGGATGAATTTAAACTGCCATTTTCATTTCTGGTGGGTTAAGGCAGTGATGGATGGAGCAGGAGAGAGGCAGGGAGACAGAAAGAACACTTCCTGCTGTAAGGCAGATAAGAGGCAAAGCACGAGGGTGTCTTGGACTGGCTTTTCTCAGCCCATGGGTCGCAGGGAAAGCTCAAGTCAGAAAGCTTTTCCTCCAAACCTGAGAGCCCAGCAAAGTGATCCGGATTTTAAAGGGTAGGGATTCACCTGGCAGAGATGAGAACACAGTCA